GTCTTCAGCCCCTGCATGATAGAATTTTTTTTGTTTTTTTGTTTGTTTTTCTTTTTTCATTGTTCTGAAGTCTGGCTGAGTTCCTGCTGAACAGCTCTTCCCAACATAGAAGCCAATTGTTCAAACTATAGATTTCTTTACAGATCCTTTATGAGAGACTTACATTATGTAGTATTTAGGCAAAAACATGCCATTAGAAAAGGTCACGTTCAGCTTTTTAGATCAAATTATCTTCCTTAAATTCAATCTCATCCACTTCAATACAGATTTTTCTCAACTCCTATACTGAAAAATGAAAGTAGCAAGCCACAAGAGCTGGCTGATTGCGGTAAAAAAAGTCAAAGGTGCACCTGAGCTAAACAGCCAAACAGGTAGCCTGATTAGGCACACCAGTTTCCATAAGTGACATAAAAGACAGGGATGTGGCCAGCCTTGTATCCAACTGCCTTTGACTCCTCAGATTGAATGACCAGGTACCGATGTACATTTGAATAAAATGAGGGCAGCCTTCAGGATAAGAATAAAATGGAATTTGAATTTGTCATGCCTCTGAAGCCATAGTAAGATACTTTCACCACCCTGCCACCATGCCCCAGCACTAAACTGTAGTACTGAAAGAAAACTCAATAAATATCATCACTATATGTCTAACCATTGAAACTTTTGCTCATTTAACTGGAAGAGTCAGAACTGCAAAGAAAGTATGAATATGAATGGTAAAACTTATAATAAATAAACTTTTTGCCAGATAAAAGAACGATTTCATTATACAAAATTAAATATTCTTCTTCAACAAGTCGTATCTATGAGTATGCAATACAATATGCTAAATTACAATACATACTTCATTATTAATAGAATTTATTATATTTTACAGACCAGATAGCCAAGTAAGCAATTTTTTAAAGAGCCAGATAGCAAAAGTGAAGGGAACTTTAGGCAACAGTCATTGCAGAAATTCTTCAGTCAGGGGACTGAGGCAATATGAATATTATGTACAAGCCTGATTTAAATACCTTTACATCAAAAATACAGTACTGTGAGACTTTCATTGTGTAGTGTAACTGATGAATCATTAATAACTTTTCATTTTAAACAAAACTACACATACTGTATATAGCCGAGTTAAAAACAGAGACTAAGCCCCATTTTATTGTTGTAAACTAGTATCATATGAATCTTCATGAGTGCAGAAAACAGGGTTCTTTATACTCCTTTTGCTTCCTACGAGATATTGTATTTTATATGAAATGCTATTATTATTAAATGATGCACACACCCTTTTAAGCATTATTCTCTTAAATGTGAGGCAATAGATACACAGTCACTTGCAACCAAGTTGCAAGTGAAAGTGTTAGGGATATTTTGCAAAATCAGGTGCACTCAGAACAAATTAAAATGTAAAATTAATTTAACTATAGAAAAGCAAATGTTAAACAGAACAGTAAAATAATTATAAAAAAAATCACAATAATAGAAATCAGCACTTTTTTCTTGCTCTGACTAAGGATGAACCCATTTTCAGGTGCAACCCAATGTATGATATTTTTACTTTATCCCACTAAAAGCGAGCGGTTTTATTTTTTATAAAATTACTTAAAATGTTTCAGCATATGATATCTGGTGTGCAGAGTATATCAAGATTGCAGAAGCATAATACAAAATAATGTTTATTTTAAAAAGTTAAGTGAGTACTTGCTAGTAATTGAAAAGGTGAATGTTCACTATAGGGGTTTTATGTATAAGAAAGCAGGAAGTTTTTATATTCCCACTACTCCTATTGAGCTTATGAAAATAAACAGCAAGTGATTCAATCATACCTAGTTATGATCCATTAGCAGCAGGATCAGTATTAACAATTTTATGGAAATACCTATAAATAATAATTACTCCTCAAGGTGCAATATGTGTCCTAAGTGACAATGTATCTGTGACTCAGAAAATGCAGGGAGTATAAAGAACTTTATATTCTCTTTCTTCTTTGATGTATGCATAAAATTTATTGCTCCCTTTTACAATATCTATAGAAATAAAACTACTAATTGTTTCAACACAAATAAATAAGGACAAAAGTTCTAGAACCAGTAGGTGATTACAAGCAACATAAGAAAACCATTGATTTATCATAACCACCATCCACGCAGTGATGGGTCACATTACTTACTTTTTCCTTAGCAAAACTACATTAAAGAACACTATAGCACAACGCACTAAAGTCTCTTTGTCTTTCTTTTCTTTAAAAAAAAAAATTCTTGCCCTGGATACCTTTCAGTAGGGCAGCTTGAACAGTTCTGGGCCACTTCCAAACCCCTCTGGAGATCAGACGATAAAAGTCTTCGGCAATCAGAGACAGGACAAAGGGCTTTCTCGTGCTATTTCCATGTTTTCATGTTTGCTGGCTTAACATCATTGTGTACACGTACGACTTCAGTACATAACATCAGATGCGATGACGTTCAGAGCTGGCAAACAGAGAAACAGCATGAGAAAAGCCCTTTCCTGCATCATTTTTCCCATACACTGTAATGTTTGTCTTCAAATTTCTGCTAGGTTGACACCTGCGAGTTCTGTGAATTCAGTACATCTACTCCTAAGGGGAATGCAATTTTTGACTGCAAGAGTCAAATGCGTGAGTGAGTGTAAAAGTGACTGCATATGTTTGTGTGTGATACACACACACGTGAATGCATGCATGCATGCACAAATGCAAACACACACAAAATCAGAGTATAAAAGTAACTGGGGTGGATGGTATTTTAACTGGTAACACAAAGTGATAATACAAAGTGGGAACACAATGCCAGACCTCCCACCAGTTTATCTCCTCAAAGCTAAAACTAAGCCCCCAGCCATCCTACTAAAATCAATCTAAGAGAAAAACACCAAAACATTACACATAACATATAACC